CATGTGGCATGATTGCCCAAAATAGATCTACTCTCGAGGGGCTCTCCTCACTGCGTATCAAGAGAAGAAACCAAGAATATAGTATTAATATATAAGGATATGACTTAAATCTAATAAAAGTAATGTAGGGCCTACGACCAGAAATATTTGATGAGTAATACAGTTATTCATGATTGCTAAATAAATAATACAAATCGTACACTTTTATCAGTGGTTAACGGTACTTGGATGACTACGATCAAACAGTAGGCCTAAGTAAGCTTGATTCACGGGGACGTAGCCAAGATACATCGATAAGTTTTTTATCCATGACCATTACGAGAACAAGGGTAATAAAAAATGACCGTTATTTTATTGCTATATTAATGTATTTTGCATTTAATATCACTGAAATATGTTTCTCGAAATTACTATTACGTCATTAACGTAATGTCTTCTTTGTCTATTCGTCCTTAGAGAGTGGCTCAAAGCTAATATGCCTATCATGTTACTATACCAGATGATAGGGCCTGTACGATCGATCTATTTCTATACACTTTTTTTTTATAAGAACACATTTTATAAGAACACTGAGGCTGAAATTTCTTAAAAAGTAAGAACAAAATAAGAACAAATTGAGGCTGAGGTAAAACTGTCAAATGAGATTTTTATTTTAAAAAAAACTAGAACAACAAAAAAATATTTGTACTTGTGTGTGTGACTGTACTTACTGTACCCATCATTTCGGGCCATTTTTACTAGCGCCTTTTTTCTGGGGCCTATGTCTCAGGGGCAGTTTTTTTCTGGGGCCATTTTTCCTACATTCCAGTACAGTGTATACTGCTGTACAATAATAATTTTCTACAGTATGTTTGAAAATTGTGTAAAATAAGAACAAAATAAGAACAATTTGAGCCTGAAATCGGCCAAAAAATAAGAAAACTGAGCTTGGGCAAAATTTTACTGGTTGTTATATATATATATATATATGTATGTATATATATACATCTAGATGTGTATAAGAGACAGATGTCACTGTCTGGGTGTCTATTCCAGTTTGTTTTTATATCTAGTATCTTTGTTGAGAATTGATAATAAAATACGCG